AGCACCTAGAAGCTCCAATTTATTTATTTTTTCCAGGATCCCAGCTGCTCCTAAAAGTGTCTTTGGCAAGTCCATTCCTGAAGTGTCATATCTTACCTTGACAGGTTCTCTTGGGACATCAGGGCACTGAGTAGAACACAACCTCCACAGCAAATCCCAGACTTTGCTTTCCCTTTATCCAAGCACGGTGCACTCGATGCACCTTGGCTCTTCCTTTCCCTCCCACACAAATTTAAAATGTTAGCAGCCACAGGAAAATCAATTGGCTCTTCTCATTCTGTTTTGTAAGACAGAAAATTGATGAAAACAGGTTTCTCCCTGCTCCTTTGGTGGTTTGACATTCAGGTCCTGCTAGTCCTGGGCATGTCTACACTGCTGAAGTTTGATTAGGCTTTGCTGTCTCTTTGGGGAAGACTTTGTCTTCCAGGCTATTTTCTTTTGGCAGGGGATGCTTCCATCATGCAGAGCTAAACACATCCAAGCTGAACAACCTCTTTATCTTTATTTCCTCCTAGCTGAAAACTTCCTTCCTATGCCCAACCTGGAGAAAAAAAAAATAGGCATTAGATGAGACAAGGGGGTCTCCACCTGCTTGACCTCAGCACGCAGCACTTTGTCCATTCCCATTTCCAGGGAGCCAGCCCTGCTGAAGGGCTTGGCTGGGAGTTGTGTCCCACCCAGAGTGACATCTCCCTCCTCCTGCCTCTCCCCAGGGTCATTCTGCCTTCCCCAGCACCAACCACAAGCCTTTCCTGGAGGATGCAACTCATTTTACCCCCAAGACTGGTCCCACCGAGGACATGGAGCAGGTAACAGAGAGCAAGCTTGAGCTTTTTTCCTCACCTGGATGTGGAGATAAGGAGAAATACAGTCCTGAAGAGGACTAGGTCTTCCAGCACTTCCAGCACTGTGAGTCCTCCTGCAGCATCCTGCACAAGTGGGGTGGCTGTGCCCGAGCTCCCTGGGCCGGCAGCAGGCACAAAACAGCCGCACAAAACATCTCGGCACTTTCCCTCTCCTGAAGGTGGCTGTTAAGTGTGCAGGTGAGATGGAGAGAAACTGTTTTGCTTCAGGGAACACAGAAAGTGCAAGACTCAGGACTCTTTTCTTGTGTAAAAACTTACATAAGTTTATTGAACTGATCCAAACCAATTACCTATTTGGCCTGAATTCCACTGCTAAGTCCGCGAGCAAACCCAAGGCAAACTGTGGGAGAGGGAAGTGTAATTCCCCTTGAGAGAAACCAGAATAAAAAAAACCAGATGGACTTAAAGAGTTCCTCCTTTTACTTTAAAATTACATACGGATGCATCATTAACAGGGAGCAAGAACAGACCTTCATGTTTAAATTAGATTTGAAGTGTCCGGGAACTGCAGAACAGAAATCACAGAGGCAAAGGCCCGAGATGGCTGAAGCCCCTCTAATGCTGCTCTGGGGAAGGTGGTGTCTCTTAACCACCTCCCAAAGCACCACATCCCTGCGAGGGAGGCAGAGCTGCCAGGAATACATATTTTAGCCTCCAGGCTGCTTTCAGCACCTCGTTTGCATTTTTAAATCCCCACCTAACAGAATCTGCGGAATCTCATTTACAAGCAAAACTGGCAGAGCCTTCTTGGGGTTGCAGACCCAGGTAGGTGAAGGTAAAACCAGAGGCTCTGGAGCAACGAGAGCCATTGGCACAGCTCCTCTGAGCTGCTCCAAGCCACTGTGGGCTGCGCTGTCATTTGCCACCAGGATGTGTCCAGCTCCCAGAAAGAGGGGCTGGGGATCCCACCGAGGGAACAGTCACCCTGCCGTGCATCTTCCAGTTAAAGAGATCTGCCTGAAACATCTGGTCAAAACAAGGGGGTTCAAAAGGAAAGGATGCAACAACTCAACTGCACGGCATCTCATCTCAACACACAGAGCCGTGTGACACTTTGGTATGTAGCTGTCACCTAATGCCTTCCAAACCAGGTGCTCTGCCACTGCCTAGACTGCCCGGGGGCAGACCTGTATGCATGGAGGAGCAGGAACAACACCACAGCTCCTGACACAAGCAGCCCTCAGACAGGACACAAAAGCTGGAGAAGCTTGCACAGCTATTTCATTTTCTCAAAGGAATGTGACAGAACCAGGGGCCTTCTGCTAACCCAACAACACCAGGACACACCCCCTTGTGATATCATATCCATTTGAATCAAATCACTTGCCCTCTCAGGACCCTCCTGGCTTCTAGGCACCCACCACTGGCCCCAAATGCCCTTTCTCATTCAGAGCCCTCTCCCTTTCTCCCCAGGACACAGTTAAGCAGCAGCCTGGCACACACAGGAGACTTTCCCAAAAGGCATCACAAAAGGAAACTGAGCCAACCCGGGATATTGTGCACACCAGTTGTGCACCGTTTGGTCCCATTTGTCAGAGTCAATCACCTGGACACATAAACTGTCTCCAAAACTTGGATGCCACTCTCTGTCCTCGGGAAGCCGACCAGGATTGTTGGTTTTCACCCCACCAGTGCTGTGCTACCCACGCAGAAAGTGTGTGGCTTGAGAACACAGTGGAGAAACAACCTTCCCCCAAAGTGCCAAGGTGCTGATATTCGTATTGTGACGTTCGCTGACCTGAAAGGACCAGGAGAGCTGATTTGGATGTTAGCACCAAATTCCCATCCCCAGCAGCTACACGGTGCTTATCAACCTCACGTGCCAGGAGGTGCCCTCTTTTTCCATCTTCCAGTGCCCACCAGGTCCACCATGAAGAAAACATGATTTCCTGACAGATCTGAGCTGGTGTGGTGAGAGCACCGTCCCCTCCGCGGCCACACTCACCTTCTGTGGGTGAACAAAATTAAAAGCAGATGCTTGGGTCTTCTTTAACACCCCATTCAATGGTCTGTGTTTATTTCCTTCTCTGAAACCGAGACATTTAATTGTGCTGAGGAAGCTGGTCAAGAGTTACAGCATCTCATTATTACCAGTTACAATAAATAAACCCACAGAGGTGATCACTGCTCCATAGGATTAGGTCAGAGATACTTTAGCATCCCCTTATCTCTGACACTGCAGCCACTGAGGGATAAACCTACTGCAACTGGGGGGGTCAAAGGGAGAAATAGGCTTCTAATATTAAACAACCATATCTTCATAAAACTTTGCTTTATAACAAAATATCTTATTAAACACAACTTTTCCTATGCCTAGCTATGTATATATCATACAGAAGTGTTGGCTTAAGGGTTCCGCTGTAGGGCAGCAAATGCCTTTCACTGCCCACGTGGAAAATACATCTTCAGTAAAGCTCTAGCTTAGAAAAGCATCATTTTATGTTACACTGCCACCATCTCCCTGCTCTTCTTGCTCCACCATGGCTCTGCAGCCACCTGCTGCAGCCTCCATGCAAGTCTTGCTCCATTTCCCATTGCTCAGCTCCACGGGGCCAGGAGGTGGAGATTTTTTTGGCAGGGGAATGAGGCACAAATTACTAACTTGTCTAAAATCCTCCCATTTAGAGTCATGACTATGGATGCAGAACTAATCCCCTCCAAACGGTTCCCACATCCTGAACCTGAAGACTATGAGATAATACTTTGTCCCCTCCCCATCCTACCCCACCCCACTATCTAGGTAAAATATGAAGAGACACACACAACTCCAAGGATATAAAAGGAGCTCGGTGATGTGGACAAAAGCATCATGGGAAAGAAAGTGCACGAGGGGATAAAGGAGCATTGCAAAATTAAGGTCAGAAGTTCATGTGTAACTAGAGCCCTCACTGCACAGCTTCAACAACTTTTATGCAGCTGCTTATAACTAGGTAATCTGAAAGGTCTTCCACTTGTCAGGGGGACAGAGGAACAAGGGAGGACACAGGGAAGTGAAACAAGAGATAAAGGAAGGAAGATTTCATCTCACAAGAAGGGGAACCTGCTCTGCAGTTGAAATTGGGGGCTAATACAAGCAGCAGCACACAATGCCTACAGGTGCCTGTGGGGGGAAGCCAATATAGACAGTGAAAAACTGCTTTACAATAAATGTGAGTCTAGTTGCTTTGTTACTCATCTTCTAGAAGCTGATCCGAGCCAACACATTCTCCTAGTTCGGACCCTAAGCAGGGATCCCCAGCCAGGGGCCCCCTGGGAAAGTTTCATTTCTGGTGCAACAGCAACACATCAAACTTCCACTTTACTCCCCTTCTCTCTCAAGAGAGCAATTTGAGCCATTCCACTTTCAGTACCAACTGGCCCAAGGTTCAGTGTGTGCTGGAGGAGCTTTTCAGCATCTCAGGGATGGATCATGGCCTGCAGGGGAATCTGCTCTTCAACCTCTTCGTGATCTGCAACTCTAAAAGCCCTCCCAACACCTTGCCCACCCACCACCTTCCCAAATCCACACTGCAACACACACAGCAAGGGTTCCCCCAGCCTCCAGGACAAGGTTGCAGACACTGTGTGAAATGGGGTACAGAAAGAAAAACCCTTCTTTCCCCCCCAAAAAAATCAGAATAGGACAGTGTGGACACAGAGCATGTGTTCTGAAAGTAAACTGGTTCTTTCTTTCCCCCATTTTGTGCACTCACACCAACCAAACCAGTGGAGTGAAGTGGATGCACCAAGTACCTGAGCTCTGAATACTGTTTGAGAACCTGCCAGTGAACTCGAGCACAACAGAAGGTTGGAGACAACACTCAGCTGCAAAATAAACACTTCAGTGAGCTCGAGCCATGGCCAGACAGCTAGGCCAACGGATGCTCTGATGGAGCCAAAATCCCCCAAAATTAGAAAAAAAACCCCAAAACCAGGTCAATTCTGCACTGAGCTGTCTTCTCCCCTGTGGACCCCAGCATTCTTTAGCCTGAACAACTGACCATTCATGCCAAATCACGAGTATCCCGGAGCATTGGAGAACCCATCAAGGTATTGCACACACTGAAACACACGCACTGAAGTCCATGGTCACCTCAAGGTCACCTGCAGTGGATGGTGGGCATGGTTCTCAGATCAGGGCACTTCCTCTGGGCTAAGAAATTACCTGCTACAGAAAACGCAACCAAACCTCGACCAACCAACTGAAAGAAAAACCTCTGCCAAAAACTCCTTGATGCATGTGTGTGGGTGTGTGTGTGGGGGGGTGGGTGTGCACGGGTGTGCACCCACCAGGCCAGAAGAGGTTATTTCATCCTGGGCTCCACATAAATTTTGTCTCCATCCCGGATGCCGTAGGAGTGCAGCGCTCGTGAGCTGTATTTCATCTCCTCAGGCCCAAAAGGAGCTTCCTGGTCCAAGTAGAAGAGCAGCATGTTGCTCGTGGACAACTGCACCACAGTTTTTAAGTGCTTCTTCAGCTCTGCCACAGTCTGATCGAGACGGATCGACATCTCTTCCACCTTATCCTGGAAGTGAACCTCCACCTTCACGCTGCTCTGCGGCCGAAGATCCACGACTGCCAAGGGCTCCAGCTTCCCATACTTCGTGACCAGCTCGTGATACCTGAAAAATTCAACAAGTCCAGAGTCATGGTCGGGTTGCTTGGGTGGCCAATGTGTGTTTCTTGAGTCCAGGGAGGCCCCCCAGGGAGGTTGTGGTGTCCCCTCCCTGGAGGTGTCCAAGGGCAGGTTGGATGGGGCTCCAAGCAACTTCATGCAGTGGGAGGTGTCCCTGCTTATAGCAGGGAGGTTGGAACCTGATGATCTTTAAGGTCTCTTCCAACCTTCACCATCCTGTGATTCTGTGGTTCCTGTTTCCCAACACTGACACCACCCACTGCAGCTGCAATCCTCTGAGGATGCTACTAGGTTGGAAAGTACAACCGTGGTCTGCACGGAGGGTACAGTGACAGGATGACACGAGGGTAAGGACAGATTCCAAGGCATGATTCATCCAAAGCCCAGAACTCCCTGATAAGAGCTAAAAGCAGAGCCCAGACAGCAGGGAGCTATCCCCACCCTCCACAGCAGTGACTAGCTGGCATATGGCTCTTCCCAAACACCTTGCAGTTTAACCAGCACTTGACTGAAGGTGGGAAGGATGGATGAGGTTCTCAGCAGTAAACACTGCCAAGCCCCTCACTGGATGCCTCTGACCATGCCAGTCTCCCACCCAACAGGGACTAAAGGAAGATCCCAGTTTTCCTCTCCATTTGCCACCAGTTCTCCCAGACTTTGGGGAGCTGAATGTTCCTCCCATGAGACAACATTCACCCCAATTAAAAAATAAATTCACAACTGAGCAGTGAAGCTCTCTACTGGGCTCCTACAATTCCAAAAAACCCAGACCTGGCTGCAGTGGGATTTGGAAGAGAGAGAGGACGGAATTCTCTCAAGGGTACATCTCCAGCTCCAGGGAAAACACTGCACTGGAGTTCTAGAGCCAAGCCAGTGCTCACACAGAGGATACAGCCCTCAGTCTGGACACCCAGCAGCTGTGGCTTCACAGCCTGATTTTCAGACATTCCTGTTCTGTTTTCCAAGAGGCCAGCTAGGTCCCAAATGTCCCACTCCACTGAGCACAGGATCACCTGTATCACTGAATCAAGGTGAGCTGCCACATGGTCTGGAAGCTGACAACAAACAGAGCACTCCTTGCCAGCTAATCCTTCACACCTACTCTAAAGTGACATGGGAATTTTACACACTCCACCACCACTTGCTCCTCAGAGCCATGTTCTCCAGCTGTCCTTCTCCACCCCTGGGAGCCATCCCCTGCAATGGAAAGTCTGTCTCACTCTCCTGCCACCTTCAGCAGGTACCACTCTAACTGGGGAAGGCTGCATCTCCCCTGCCTGGCTGGGAAAAAGGGCAACACAGGACCCGAAGTGATTGAAAATGACAAAGCCTGAGAGCTGCTGGGAAGAGGTAACATTTCAGAGGCCCTCTTCTATGCACTGGACAGAGAGCTTTTTTGTTCCCCATCTGAGCCTGGACTGAATGTGATCAGTGCTGTGTCATGGCCCTGTCGAGAGCTGATGGGACCTGGCAGGCCAGGGGACCCCCTGCTGAAGGCAGGAGTGCTCCTGGAGAACAGCAGACCCTCTGTCTGCTGGGAAATGAGGTAAGGGCCACAAAGCACTAGGATTTCCCCAGTCTCACGGACAAAACCAGCCTTCAGCAGGGCAGAGTGTCCAAAGGCAGGCTGGTGCCCTGCTCTCACAGTCACCTGGGTGATAGGATCAGGCCCATTTATTTGGAAAAGCCATTAGAGCTGAGAGCAGAAAACGTGCTCCCTGTATTTTATCCACGGGGCTACTGCCTGCAGCACGAGGGAGCACCAGGCAATGTCACCCACAGGGGAGGCTTCTTTGCAGCACAGTTGCTGCTGCAAACACTTGCTCATATGATGGTGGGAAGAGCATAAAGAGGGGGACAAATTTCAAGCAAGCTGAGAGAGAGAAGCACCGTGACTGGGCTAGGATTACCCAAATGAGTGCTATAAATATGCAGAGGGTCTGGCAATGTTGTCTGAAATGTTCTGATGTCAAGGAAAGGCAGAACAAGCTCCGCAGCCTGCTCCTGCTGTGCCAGCTGCAGCCTGCAACACAGCCTGAACGACTGGCTTCCCTCAGATCAATAAGGATGAAGGGACACTGCTCATGTGGTTCATTTGTACCCCGATAATAGGCACCCTGGAGACTTTTCCAGACACTAGCTGCCAGAGCAGAGGATGCTGAAGAACTGAGCCTGGCTGAAAGTGCCTCTGATAACTCTGCAAATAAACAGTGGACCAGACAAGCCCAGGACTCCCTGAAAACCCACAGACACAGGGACTCAAGGAGACAGTCAATATTGGACTGTACTCTCGGCACTCCCTTCTCACCCACGACATCCAGAGAGAGGAATTATTCTTTCCATTTCCCTTGCTTGCTGATCCCTCTGAGCTGCAGCCTGTGAGGATAGGCAGGGGGGTTGCTGTGACAGAGCTTCATCACACAGTACACCTTGGTGGTCTCCAGGGGGGCTGTTGACACTCCTAAGTTCCCCACCCCCAAGGGTGTCTTCTGGTCTGAGACAGCCCTGCAATGCAGATGCCATAACCCCAGCAACAATGTGTGCCCTGAAGAGATTCTAATGACAAACCACCTTCTGAGGGACCACGCCAGATTAGGGAGCAAAGAAAGGGAAGATTTAGCAACAAACACACACAAAATCCCTCTGCAAAGAGCACCAGGTTTTTCTTCCTGCAAGGGCTGCTGCGTTTGAGTCTGGGAACTGAAACCCAGCCCTCAGCACTAGGGACACTCTCAGCCATCTGCAGCCTCCTTAGAAAACAGTCTGTAGTGGCACACAACTCCTCTAGAACAGAACAACCCTCTTTAGTAGCTGCACAAGTCTCTTGGAAACGCTGCACAGATGAAGAGACTCAGACAAAGGGCCCATTGACCAAGGAAAGAGCACTAATAGTGTTTAAAGGGGAGGAAATCAGAGGGGGAGGAAACTCTTTGTACTTCACCAAAGCAGCACAAAGCTAGCACATTGGTCAAGATCAGCCCATATTTTTGGGATGGCTGAGGGATCAGCTATTTCTGACATGAGCTCCCACCCGGAAACTGGTCCCAGCTGGGTGTGGTTCTGTGTAGCTACACGGGTGCAGCAGCCTGTTCCCAAAGTCCATGTCCTACCAACAACATTACACGTATCTAAATCTACACCCCACTGTGCCCTTCTCAACAACCTATGGGTCCTGGAGATGCAAGGCACCTGTCACCACAATACCTAGAAACTAAAGCTCAGCAGGAGCCTGACACCAATGTATTTACCTTCCCTCTCACACCCAAGCCCTCCCTGTCCTGTTGCCAAGGGGCAGCATTCTGCTGCAGCTGTGGGGCTCTGTTGTTCTCCCCTTCTCCAGCCACAACCAGAGACACGAAACAGCTTTCTTAAAAATCAAATGTGACAGAAAATAATCCATTCAGGGAGCAGGACCATGAGCTCACAGTCCTCATCTCCCCTTCCTCTCTTCTGCATTCTCCGCTTCTACTGCCATCCCATATTTCTTCCAATTTTTCTGCTTCAAGGGCTTCTCAAATTACAAGCCAGGACATGTCCACAGAAAAAGGCACAAGAGGGATCACCAGCTGTCTTGTCTCCCTGCCTACATTAGAAACCTTTTCCTCTGAACTGACCCCAGCACATCTTTAACAAACACCATGGTCACTGGACCTATTAGTATTCATACAAAACACCCTGTCCTCTTTCCCCATTCTAGCCTTCCCGTGCCTCACTGCACTGGCAGCTCACACACACACAGTGCTTTCAGAAAACAAGAGACATTTTACCTAAGAGTTCAGCTGGGGAAAACACTGACCAGCCAATATAACCACTGACATGACCAGATTCTGTTTGCACCTTTGTCACCTGCACCAGGCCAGACTTTTGACTTCTTCTTCCTCAGTTTGTCCCTACTTCTGCCTGTCCCCCCCAGCTCTCTTTCTGAAAAGAAAAGGCTATGAAGCTTTGTTTGAAAAGCACAAGAGGGTTCTAGGGCAAAAGGCACGTCCATGCAGTGGCTGGATGCTCTGTGGTCCTTCCTCAGCCCATTAAGAAGCCCTAAGCAGATGCTGGCACAGGGAAGATATAGACTGAAAAGCACCTGTCAAAGTTCATTAGTTTACCAAGACTAACGGATCATTGGGCACAGTTTTTTGGCAAAGAAAACCCATCAGACTTGTGATTTGCAGGACTGAAAGTGAGTAGACAGCTTCCTATCACCAGCCACACTTCATACACCAGATGGTGAAGAGAATTAGATGCCCTGGCCTGGCACCACAGAGCATGATCTGTACTGGCTTCTGGGGACGCCCTAACTCAGGTGCATTATGAAGTTAGGCATCAGGGAGGCCAGGAAGCAATGAAAATCATGAACTGAGCAGTCATGTTGTTTAATGGCACTTAACATGGACACTTTCAAGACCAAATCTGACTCAGAAGTGATTGTACAAGTCATCAGATCACACTCTGATATAATGACACGAACGGAAACAGATTGACGGAGGCCAGACAGGAGGAGAGCAGGATGTTTTTGTTCATGGAACAACTAGCCCAGATTTCCCATGTAATATCATCTCTTTAGACACTTTTCCTTTCACCTTGCTGCCCTTCTGCCCCTGGCTCTCCAATTCCCAACAAAGAATCCTTACCTGAATGGGACTTCCTCCTCTGGGAATTCCATGTAGTACCGGATGAAGAACCGCTCCGAGTCCTCTCGTTCCCCATCAGCAACGATGCTCCCGTTGAGCTTGATGATGGAGGGCAACCTGCAGGCAGCCACCAAGGAGAGAAACCCAGACAGGGTGACCAACAAGACAGTCTCCATTAAAATCACTGAATTGTCATGGTTGGAAAAGACCTCTAAGATCACCCCATTCCAAAAAAAATCCCAGCTCTGTGCCAAAATGTTCACACCAGGAGAATCCTGCCAGGCTCCTCATGCCTCAGTCCCCTGGAGAGAGAGGGAGAGTCCCATGTGGTTTCTTCAAAAGCAATTTTGGGACTATTCAGCCTGGAGAAGAGAAGGCTCCAGGGAGACTTTTGAGCACCTTCCAGTGCCTGAAGGGGCTACAGGAAAGCTGGGGAGGGACCTGGGACAAAGGCAGGGAGGGAGAGGACAAGGGGGGATGGATGAAAAGTTGAAGAGGGAGATTGAGGTGAGACATGAGGAGGGAATTGTGGAGTGTGAGGGTGGTGAGAGCCTGGCCCAGGTTGCCCAGGGAAGCTGTGGCTGCCCCATCCCTGGCAGTGTTGAAGGGCAGGTTGGATGGGGTTTGGAGCAACCTGGGATGGTGGGAGGTGTCCCTGCCCATGCAGGGGGTTGGAACTGGATGATCTTGAAGGTCCCTTCCAGCCCAAACCATTCCCTGACTTCTCATTTCCCCACAGACCAGCTCCATGTGCACACATACAAGACTCAAAACATCAGCTGAGAAATAAAGAAGTTGGACTGAACATTTCCACTGCTTCCAATTTCCCACACAACCAAAAAACCCTCAACTCTTTCTGAGCAGTGAATTAATTAAAAAAACACCTCATTTCCCAACAGCCTCTACTTCCAATTCCCCATTCCCAGCCATTCCCAGCCATGTGATGCTTCTTCTGAGCAGAATCAACCATCAGCAGACCTGGCTATTAGCAGCTTCCTGCGTTCCTCAGTGGTGTAGGACTGCAGCAAAGGGATTCCTAGCAATTTCACTTCCTCAAGCTTGGGAAAAGAATTCAACTTGTCAATGTCTTCCCAGCAATGCAGACCTGCTCAAAAGAGAAGACTTGCTTCAACAAACAGAGATAACACATCATATAGTGAAGAAAACTAGGTGCAGCCAAAGACAGCTGCTGTTTCTTTGAGAAGCTGGCTTTTTGCTCACCATGTCCTACAGAAAATCCCCCTCTTTTGCTTACAAGACAGAGTAGTTTAAACTCTCTCCTGCTGTTTTGCAAGTGTACAAGGATGATCTCCAGGGAGCTGAGGTTTTTATGGACCGTTCAGTCTTTGGCCTCACTGCTGAGGACTAACTAGCACCAGTTATGATGGCTGCATCTATAAAGGGATGTTGCCTGAAGCACTATTCCAAGTCATCAGGACTTCTGTCATTCTAGGCTTCACTAAATTGCCATCAAATAGCTCTACCTTGCACACATGACCACCTTGGGTCCCATTTCTGCTCACGACCCAACAGTAAAACAGTCCCAGAAGCCACCCAGCCATTTAATGAAAAAGTCTTTAACTCCATCTCAGCCCCCTCAAGACCTGACACTTGGGATAACAAGGCAGGCAGAGAGGGTAAAATACAACAGTTGAGGACCAAGCAATAGTGCAGGCCTGGTTATGTGGAGGGATCAATACTACCCATCTGCACTTCCCTTGACTATGATTCCAGAAATGTTTACCATGATGCTTTTCCCAGGACAGTTCCAGAAGCTTGTACTAGCAACATGAGTTAGAAAACTGGTTTCTCTGAACAGTATTTGATACTCAGAGGCTGGAGCAGCTCTGCTCTGGAGACACGTTCACAGCCACAAGACAGAAAGAGGGGCTCCTTGCAGAGCAGAAACAAAACTCCTCCAAATACCACAGTGTGTGTGGCAGGCAGAGAGAGCTGCCTTTCCAAAGAGAGCTTTTAACATCTCTGCCAAGGTCCCCTATGCCTAAAGCCACCCTCTGGGTATCACTACCAGCCACATTTACAAATTAATTGAGTAGAAGTGGACTGCAAAAAGTGTTTGGAGTCTTTACAGTGAGAGGGTTTTGGTATGCAGCAGCTTTCCCTGAAAAAAAAAACAAACCTAAAGAAGCTGAACGTGGTCCTTGGGATTTCTGTTTGGCTTTCAGCTCCCAAAACATCAACATGCAAACCAGCATCTTAAATACCTGGCACCAACATTGCAGAAGGATTTACCACAGGAGCACTTACTGAGAAGCTGCTACTCAGTAAGACTCTGCTTCCAAATCCAGTTTAACAAGCTTCTCCCTTCCTCTAGTTAGCTTTAAGCTTTTATTATATGGATTCCTTGATGCTTACACTGCAGAGCATGTTCATAAAGTAACTTCTGCCTTGGCTAACACTTAACTACTGCTGGCACAGCACGTAGAGCTGTAAAGACCAGAAGATGATGATGGATCATCTCCTGCAGAGAAACCTGTGGTGTCCATGTTACCTCCCAAACACACTCCAAACCTGAGGAGCTCCCTCTATCTGAGCACAGGGTGCCCTTCCTAATGTGCTAGGTGCTTCTTTTCCTTTCTGAAGTGTTGGCTGGAAATTCTCTGGGGCTGAAGTGTAATACCAGCCTCAAGCACAACTTTAGGTGAGCTTCTAATAACTGAGCAGAGATGACAGCTTTTGCTGGGGAGTGCTCAGCCTTACACACCACATACCTACACATCAGCTCATTTTACCCAAGATGAAACAGGGAATAAAAGGAAAGAGGGATTGTTTCATCCCCACTGCTGTCAGAAATTTGTCTCTCCTTCTCCAGCCAGAAGCACCTGAGGCAGAGAGAGGAAACAGAGGGAAACTGCTAATGGAGAAAACCTTTTCCAGCTCACTTTGAGTAACTGCCACTCCATACTATTCTGATACATCTTTTAGGTAAGGACTGACTAGCAAAAGCAGCAGGTAGAGCCTACAAGTTGATTTCTTGCCCGTTCTCCTCCCCTAAAGCTCCATTCTCCAGGTACACCTCAGTACACCTGCTTGCCTGGCCCTGCATGAGAACTGTTAGGCAACTGGATTCAGGCTCTGTCAGGACTGCATTTCCCAACAGCTTTTTGATTCTGCCAAGACGTCAGGATAGGCTGGAACAATCTGGGCTTTTCCACCTCTGCTACAGCAACAGAACCATCCCAAAGGTTCAGGCTCTTGCTCAGCACTTCTGCCTCTCCCGTACTGGACAGGAAGCAATGCTGACTGCAGGCTGCTCACTGCTACCACCAGCCTAAGAAGCAGCAACCCCAGAGGGGTACCAAGCCCAAAGGGCACCAAGCAAGTGTGTTTTTCACTTGTGCTGCCCCTCATGGCGAGGACAAAAAGCAAAACTGCTCCCCGGGCCCTCACCTGACTTGTGCAAATTGATGGATCGCAGGTTGGGGAACAGCCTTGCCAGGGAATCTTCTGACTCTTCGATGGTCGTGAGGTTGTTGTTGGCCAGAATAAGGGTGTCCAGTGATGGAAACATAATTCCCAATTTTCGAATTTCAGTCCAGTCTTGAAGATTATTGTCAGTTATGTGGAGTAATTTGAGAGACTGGCAGCAAACTGGAGAACAAGACACTGTTTCATAGTCATTAAGGCACAGGAAGAGCTCCTCCAAGCTGCACAGGGAAAGAAAAGGCCACCTCAACATCTCACCAAACCTCAGAAACAGCTGCCATCTCAGGTACAGGGAGATGCAGATGAGATTTTAACACGATCTTCTGTTAACAGCTTTTGTGTGATTTGAAACCTTGGCACAGAGAAGACCTTCGAGCACTCCAAATGGAGCATCTCCACTATGCTCCCGATCCATAAACTTCATCCACAGATGAAAAATAACTCAAAGTGGTGGCCCCAGCCTCCCTGCATTAGCTGGGTTAACAGATTGCTTGGCATGGTATTCCACATTTGGGCCAAGAAGCCACCAACCCACCTCCAATGGTGACTGGCACCTGCTCTCCATACTCACCACTTCATTTCAAAAGGTGCTTTTGTACAACACAGATGACCCTTTTTTGACCTGCTTCACTGGTTCTGCCAAACACCCCCATTAAAGAAAGAAGAGGTCCCACAGCTCCCCCAACCCCAGGGAAGCACGATTTGGCCACACAGGATATTCTGCTGTCCCCATCCCTGCTTACCAAGCAAATCAAAATGAAGCCACCGAGGACATGCGGGAAAGCAGAATGCCAGTGCCAAGGTGGACTGTGGCCAAGCCACAGAAATCAACACTACTGCACAGAAAAGCAGGATGAAATATTACTTGACAAGAGGCCAGACCCTCAGAATTCTATCCCATTCAAAAGCTATTAGCACAGGTATGCAGCGCACCATTCATTCTGCAGTGACTCAGGTGTCACCTCCTGACATCCTCGAGGTGATTATCCATCATTATCCACCTTTGGTATTTAGATTTGGATGAGGAGCCTCGGGTTTTGCAGCCCATCATCCACCTCTGGTATTTAGATTTGGATGAGGAGCCTCAGGTTTTGAAGCCTCATGCAAGCTGAGCTTTGGAGCCAGTGTGAAGCATCCACCTGGCCAAGCTCCCAGAAGCAAAAAGAACATCCCTTTTCCTCCACCAACCGTGGTCGTGTCCTCACACCCCTGTCCTCCCTCCCCAAGTGATGGGATCCAGCCTTGAGCTGCGTGCACCCAGCACCCCTTTCTGCTCCCAGCAGCTCCCCATGCTTACTCTGGTAATTCCTGCAGGATGGTGTGGACTGTTTCCCAGGAAGCTTTGCTGTTGTTGAGCACAAGTTTGCGGACACCAGCGAAAGACCCGGCGCAACTTCTCTCTAGAACGGACAAACTGAGAGGGTTGGAACTCAAGTTTAGAAACTCCAAGTGGGGAACGTTGGACACAATTTTACTGACCTAAGTGGGGAGGGGACAAAAAAAACATAAAAAGAGAGAGAGAGAGAGAAAGAAAAGTGTATCAGGCAATAATCAGACCTCAGGCAATGGTATCCCAGCTCCTAGAAAGGAGCTCTTTGGAATTCCCACAAGCCAAAGAAATGATATGGGGAAAAAAACCCAAGGCTTCTGGATAACTCCCTGTAATTTGTAGTCCAGTTATGCACTGATCTAGATTGATCAGTTAATTGCTCATTCACCTCAACAGTTGATCTAATTACACTCTCCAGGCAGCTTGATAAGGGAAGGTCAGCGTCTTGGGAGAGGTCACCTCAATGCCAGGCAGAGGGCAGGTCCCATGGCACCCCTCTCTTCTAGCAAGGAGGCCATGGGCACATCTCCAACAATCTGAGCACTTGCCCAGCTTCCCACTGTTCCCCACTAGCCACAGAGCTTGCCATTTTGCCCAGTGTAAAAACAGCTGGAAGCTGACTGTACACACAGAGAGAATTTCTTGTTTGATTCCACTCCTCTGAAAACAGCAGCTTTCTTATAATCAATCCCAAGGTTCAGGCAACTCTGCTTGGGGCTACTTTGTCTTTTTGTGTGTAGAGATGTGCATCTGAGGGCAAAACAGCTGAGAGGTAGGGAGGACAGATCAAGAAAGACAAAGAAAAATCAGAGGGATGATTGTACAGCTCTGGAGTGTGGGATAATGGATGAAAACTGGAAGAGGGAGACTGAGGTGAGACATGAGGAGGAAATTGTGGAGTGTGAGGGTGGGGAGAGCCTGGCCCAGGTTGCCCGGGGAAGCTGTGGCTGCCCCATCCCTGGCCGTGTTGAAGGGCAAGTTGGATGGGGCATCCATGGGGGTTATTAAGCTGGGAAAAGCTGCCATCACATTGCAGGACTGGGCTTGAGGCCAAAGCATCTGAAACCCCTAAGATGTAAGTTCAGCTCAAGGATAGTTCAAGTACTAACACTCAAGACACTCATCCAGGAAACAAGGATGAGTCAGAGAACCCCTGGCTAGAGAGCTCTGCTCCACAGGGCTGCTGGGATGGGACAGAGCATGACGTGCATGGGTCAATAACAGGGCCCAGTTGCCAGCAAAGGGCAATTCCCATGCAGAGGTGGAATTCAAGGAGGTAATTAGTCTGCCTCACCTCACACCTCATCTTGGGTGATGTCATGTTTTGGGCACTGTGTCCTAGGAATGAAGGGGACAAACCAGAATGACATCAGAGCAACAAAAGCAACACAGGATTTAGAAAGAGTGGCCTGGGATGAGCAGTTGGAAGGACTGGATTTTTTCAGTATTACACTAAAAGAAGAAAAGGAGACATGAAAGCTCCTCTGCTTGGGTACAAAAGGCTGTGGTGTAAAGAACAGTGATGAACACTCCTCCAGGCCTGCTGGGAACAGGGCAGGGAGTAACTGGCTGCAAGTGCAGCACAGGAGACTTAATGTAGACTATGAGGTTATTAGGTAAGCACAGGAACAGGCAAGCCAGGGATCTGCAACCCTCATCACTGGCAGTTTGAATAGTTGGGTGGATGTTTATCCCTTGTGGATGGGCTATGAAAACTTAATCCCACCTCAGAGGAAGGGCCAAAGTACCCAGAAACCTTTTCCTTTCCTGCTTCTCTGTGGCTCCTGCAGCAGGTGGCAAATGGTGTTGTCCAGGAGAGCCTGAACACACAGCAAGGCTGGCAGGTGAGGAGTGGATGTGCAGCTCTCCCAGCTGCTCACCAGATGTGAGGTCAGCCCCACTGGGAGGCAGGACAGGGAGGGGAGAGGCAAGACAAGCCCTCCCTACATGAACATCTTCCCTGGCTCTAATATCTCAACAGAGAAGCCTAAGATCTCTCTCCCACCCCCTCAGCTAACAGCTTCCAGGCTAGCAAGGAAGTAAGAGGGACAGGGAAACCCACCCCACATCTGACTTTGCAGCCCCCATGCCAGAATTGGGATATTTCTGCATTGCCTCCCTGTTTCCAGACATAGGAGCTGCTCTTCTCCATGTATTTCCAACAAGAAACATGAATATAAAAGCAGAGCACAAGCCAGTGAGGAACTGTTTAACAGCACTTGAAATGACTGTGATTGTTATAACACCCTGTATTTATCTAACATGTTTCATCCAGGCACTTCAGAGGATTTTACAATAGCATTTTGCATTAGTTAATGAGGCCTCAGAAATATCCTTTGAAGTAAATGTTATTAAACCTGCTTTGCACACAGGGAACAAAAACAACTGGAGAACAAACACCCAGCATCATAGGATCAGGGGGAAAGCTGGGAATCAACTTCCATTACTTGGACTTCCTCAGTCCCTACTGTTAAAACCAGGACTGCTCATTCACCTCTTCATGTTAGTAAAGTCAGTTCTGGTGCTTTGCATGATAAAAAAACATATGTATTTGTCACCCACAGGTCAAGATGGTAAGTCAGGAAGTATGGGAAGTGCCCAAACAGGTTAAATTCAGCATGTTTCTCACTCAGTTGCTGTCAAAGTAAATAATCACCAGCCTCAAAAGTGAGAAAGAAGCCCCAAAAGTGGAATAATATCTGCTCAGGTAAACAAAGTCCTCTTACAACCTGAGCAGTGGCAGTAACAGTCATCCAAGTTCCACAGAAAGATGCACGTGTCACCACTTTACCTCATGCCAGTCTTCCAGTTTGTTGTCAGAAAGGTCCAGCTCAGAGACGTGGGCACAGAAGGCAGCAATTTCATTCTCATCCCCTGCACAGGTGATGCCACAGCTGTTCAGCACCAGCACGCTCGGGAGGTTGAGGCGGTCTGAAATGGGGAGAGAAATGGTGCCCTTTGGTCAGCAGGGAGAGGTCACTTAAGGTCACAACAAGCACAAAAAACACAGCATCCAGCAGAAGATCTACCAGGGATTCCACAACTGACACGTGTTTCAGGATCTCGGGATAAAGGTAGGTTTTATGATAAGTGTCCAACATCAGTTAAGAAGTCCTCTTGTGTCTAAGCACCAAGTGCCACTCGGTGTCAGTGCCTCTCAGCTGCTACAGACATTTCTGTCCCCACCACAGCAAGGAAAGGCCAGTCCTCTGTGGTTTGTAGCATGTTCCATATCAGCTCTTGCCAGGACTTGTGCTCTTCCCCAGGCATCTGCTCCTGCAGATAGGATACAGGACTAGGTGGACCCCAGAGTCAGACTCCTCAGCCTCTCCAGCTTAGCCCACTTGGGGTTAAGAACCACAAAGATGTATTTAAACTTAGTTTTCCTTCTCAACCATGTAGAACACTAAGCATTCTGACATCCTGGCAAAAAACCTTCAGTCTCTGCCTTTTTACATTTCTGCTTTAGTTTTGCCCTAGTTCCTTCCCATGCAGGGAAATGTTCCTGCAGCTGCTTCACAGACAAGGACCTGGATCCCAATCACAGCCTGAATAGCTGAGGGCAACACGTGACAAAGTTAAAAGCTTTGGAACAGGAAACCAGCTCAACACAAGAAATCCACACCTAGGCAAAGCAAACCTTCAGCCTTGCACTGGTACCCAACAAGGCTCTCCCACCTCTGGGGAGGATTGAAATCTGTCCCTTTTCCTCTCTCCTTCATACTCAACAGCTCCATGACTAGAAAGGGATTCCACCTGGAGGGAGCTGAGTCTTCAAGTTCCCTGCTTCTTTGGGGTTTGGCTCCTGTCAAGGACAGTGCTGTACAGAGCTTGGAATTAGCCAGGATGCAGGTGTAAGTCGTGGCTCAGTCATGATTTAACACTTACAAACATTGTCCTCTTCCCAGTACCCAGAGAGCTGAGGTGCTGGCACACAGGGGAGAGGCCACTGACTGAACATGCCACCACCAGGACCATTTCCTGTGTGTTAATTTTGAGTGACACACTGAATGTTTTCTCCCCAGCTGAACTCGGGCCCTTTTCTTCATTCCTCTGCCAAACTCAGTTACTGTTAACTTCACCCAGCTCAATTCCATGGCTGTCATCCCTCTTAGGCCTGGTGATGATACAAATTGACCTGACAGGAATTCAAACTGCACTTCCAGATCAAGATGGGCAAGAGGCTAGACAAAGAAGGGGCAGTTCTGATGGGATAAATGTTCAGTTCAGGCTCATCTGTACAAATCAAGAACCAAATCAGAGTGTGAGGGAAGACTAAAGGGTGTCCAATTGATTCAGATGAAAGAGCAGGAGGAAATAACACAGACTGAGCAGTCTAGGAGGCTCAAGGACATTGATGAGCAGCACAGTGTGTGAGACACACATCTGAGACTCCCTCAAGGCAGTCAGGTCAGAAGCAGAGGAGAGAGGGGACTTCTCCACTAGGTCAGCACAGGGACTGTCAAAGAGCATCTGATGCTCTGAGGACAGAGCCAAAGGAAACCACAGGTTCATTGGTGTCACTTGTCACAAAAAAAAAAAAAAAGCCTCTCTGCAGAATAAAGGATTCATTGCTTGGTTTGAAATGTGCTGGACTCTCTCCAGTAGCTCCTTGTCCTTCCTGAACTGGGGAGCCCAGAACTGCTCACAGAGCTCCAGGTGGTGCCTCAGCAGGACAGAACAGCAGGGTCAGGAGAACCTCCCTGACCTGCTGCCCACACTCTTGATGTTTCCTTTCCTTGTCAAATCAAGGCAACTTTTCCAACACAACTAAGATCAACCAAGAAACCAAACCCACCCAGAACCCCAGGGATCCCACCCAGAAGCCCACAGATGCTCATGCAGACCAGAAGCCTACCTTTCATGGGTGAGCCCTGTGGAGTTGCTGGGACATGCACCCCCATGCCAGGCCCACGGCGATACGGGAAGTTCTCAGGGCTGTATTTCTCACAAAGAACTTGCATGAAACTCCTTCCACTGGGCTGGTCCATGCTCCCTTCTTGGACTTCTAGACAATGCAGAGAAAAAACAGAGCATATAAACAAAAGAGAAATGACACAGAATGGTGATTCTCACACTCAAGAATTTCCTCCTCATGTCTCACCTCCATGTCTCTCTTCCAGTTTTAATTCATCCCCCTTGTCCTCTCCCTCCCTGCCCTTGTCCCAAGTCCCTCCCCAGCTTTCCTGGAGCCCCTTCAGGCACTGGAAGGTGCTCCAAGGTCTCCCTGGAGCCTTCTCTTCTCCAGGCTGAACACCCCAACTCTCCCAGCCTGGCTCCAGAGCAGAGCTGCTCCAGTCCTCCCATCATCTCCGTGGCCTCCTCTGGACTCTCTCCAAGATCTCCATGTCCTTCCTGTGCTGAGGGCTCCAGAACTGGACACAGTACAGACCAAACAGAAAACCTTCTTGCTCCACATGCTCTTCCAGGACAGTTTCAAACATGCCCCAGGCTGCCATGATTACTTCTGTGCCTCTTAAGAGGACTAAGAGATATTCAGAGATGTTCCCAGACACATTTCCAGGGCAGCAAGGACTGGAAAGAGCAAACAGCTGTTGATGAGAAAAGACGGTTCCAAGACCTCCCTTTTCTCTAACTCAGGACTAGTCAAGAGCAGATTTTTTGGATGGGGAAAAAGAAGAAAAGGAAAAAGAAATACTCCAGTTTGACAACAAGCCCAGCCAGGATATCTCAGGGCTCTCCCCTTCACTGGCAGCAGCAGCTCATTCAAAGCAAGCTCAGGCTCCAAAGGAGGATCATCATTTCTCCTCAGACATCTGCAAAGAACTTGAGTCCTCCAGTCATGGAGCAGCTGCTGATTAGAACACAAATGCTGTGTCACCCAACCTCCTGCAACACATTTTTGGCCAGTCCAAAAAGCAAGTTTTGCCAAATCAATTCTGCAGCAGCTCAGTGTATCTAGAAGATAAACAGGCCCTTCCTATCTACACTTGCCACAGAACAGCAAAGGAACAATGACTCACCACATCTGGAGCCTGTGACCTGCCTAGAAAGATACTGAGTGTCAGCTGGAAGGACACTTGGCACCAAGATACCACCATGGTTTGCATTCTGTGGTGGTGGAAACAAGCTCATCTTTCCTGCCTCCCTGCACGTGCTGTGAACTTGGCAGTTTGTGGTTTTCTGGATTATGAAAGTTTGATACATACACAAAGAAAGAGAACCATGTTCTTCCTGGGTTTCACTGAGGGCTTTTAACCCACTACAGACACAGAGGAGAGAGCCACATCTGCCTGTTCTAAAAACACCTGCAGGGAACAGCTGCAGGTTTCCTACAGTGCTCAGGCTGGAGCAGGGTTTTCACCAAGTACTGAGTCGAAACATTCCCAGCCCAGCTCACAAACCCAGAATCTGAACCTGCAGGACTTCTGCTGGAAATCCATGGTTCTAACTTCATGGTGGGGTCACACATGCTGAAAGTGATGCAGGAACTTTCCTTGAGAGTTTTTGCAGGCCAGGAGAGATAAAATCATACAGTCACAGACTGGTTTGGGTTGGAAGGACCTTCAAGATCATCCAGATCCAACCCCCTGCATGGGCAGGGACACCTCCCACCAGCCCAGGCTGCTCCAAGCCCCATCAACCTGCCCTTCAACACTGCCAGGGATGGGGCAGCCACAGCTTCCCTGGGCAACCTAGGCTAGGCTCTCACCACCCTCACACTCCACAATTCCCTCCTCATCTCTCACCTCCATCTCCCTCTTCCAGTTTTCATCCCTTCTCCCTTGTCCTCTCCCTCCCTGCCCTTGTCCCAAGTCCCTCCCCAGCTTTCCTGGAGCCCCTTCAGGCACTGGGAGCTGCTCTAAGGTCTCCCTGGAGCCTTCTCTTCTCCAGGCTGAACACCCCAACTCTCCCAGCCTGTCTTCCTGCACAAAAGCTCCCTTTGCTGAGAATCACCTGCAACAAGCTCTACTTCTTGAACACCCTACCTAGAACAGCTCTATCCCAGAGGACTTTGCTATAATAAGAAGTTGACTAAAGCCTGTTACAACTTTCATATTTATATATAAAGCCCACATGTCCCAAAGAGGCACTGAAGGGTCTGACTTTAAAAAACCCAGAGATCATTCAGTCCTCAACACCTTGGTTCACAGCTCAGACTCCACTTCATGTCACTAGACCCTCTAGAGCCAAAACAACAAATCCTCAGACTGAAACCTGTGCCAGGAACAGGGCATTTCCATTTATCCTAAAACATTCCCCATGTTCCAGCAACAATCCACACTGACAGCTTCAGGCTGAAATTCCTCATTCCAGAGGGATTCTGGAGCTCAGTACTGCAAGAATGACTTTACAGTGCACACTGAGGACTCCTGGTCTGGAAATTCTGGAATTCCCCCCCGTGTAAAGCTTTCTGCCCTTCCCATGGCTTTTCTATCCACTCCATTTCCCTTTACCTGCTCAGCAAGTATCAGCTGGAAGTTTCACACCTTAACACACACTTTGAGGCAAAAAAAAGAAGTGTTTTCAGCTGAAGTGTCAGAGCAATCCAGAAGTGAGACCAAACCCTGGTGACATTCACATGGATCAGCTTTGAACCAAGAGCATTTTCCTTCCCAAGCTTCACTTTTTCAGGCCACTGCCTTTGCCAGACGTGCCCAGGGTGGGACAGTCCCCTTTCCCACCTCCCTGCTCACGTTTCACAACATCTGTTGTTCTGTTGTGGCTTCTCTGAATCACTGCAACTGCTGGAGAGAGCAAGGGCTAACAGAGCACAGAAAGAGAACATGACACACTCCCCGTGCATGTTGTCTGTGCAGGGGCAGGATGAGCTGCAAGGGGCACATTCCTGTGTGTTTTCCTACTGACAGCACAAGGAGCAACTCACATGGGATGGTTTGGGTTGGAAGGGACCTGAAACATCATCCAGATCCAACCCCCTGCATGGGCAGGGACACCTCCCACCAGCCCAGGCTGCTCCAAGCCCCATCAACCTGCCCTTCAACACTGCCAGGGATGGGGCAGCCACAGCTTCCCTGGGCAACCTGGGCCAGGCTCTCACCACCCTCACACTCCACAATTCCCTCCTCATCTCTCACCTCAATCTCCCTCTTCCAGTTTTCCTCCCTTCCCCCTTGTCCTCTCCCTCCCTGCCCTTGTCCCAAGTCCCTCCCCAGCTTTCCTGGAGCCCCTACAGGCCCTGGATTCAGGGAGACACACTTTGCAGCGCTCTCCAGAGGCAGACAAACAACCACCACCAGAGCAGAGACCCCCTGAGCCTGCAGAACCAGCTCCCCAAGCACAGACACACCGCAGGGCCGCGATCCACAAGCAGCAGAACCGTTCCCTCACCCACTCCAGCACCAAACCCCAAGAACTCCTCCAGCACCGCGGGGAGAGGCCTGGGAACCCAGGGATGTCACCCTGAGGAAAACAACCCCCCCCACACACACACACCTTGTCCCCAAGCGGGTGTCACAGCTCGGGGACCCGCACCCCAGAGGCCTCAACCCAGCTCGGCAGCTTCGGCCGCCCCCAAATCCCCCTCTGGGA